GGGGGGGGGGCAGGCTAACAGGAAGGAGGCCTCAGGACCACGGGGTTTCAGCAGCTGTGCCCCCTCCTCGCCCCACGCGGGTACCATCACGCATTTGACGGGGAACTCCTTCAGCCCTCTGTTCCTCGGGGAGTCGAAGACCACGGGCAGCGTTTTGTGCGGGGCTTGGATGTAGCCGATCTCCATTTCGTCCTGTGCGGGCGGAAAGGGCGCTGTGGCGCGCGCTGCCCGGGCCGGCCCCCAGCGCCGAGACCGGGGCGTGGAACCAGCCCCGCGCTCTCCCGCTCACGGTCAAGGGCACCGTGCGACATCTGACCCCAGAGGAGGGAGAGCAGAGCTCGCCGCCCTGCGTTTCCCCAGCGCACGGCAGGCTGTGAGGGCACAGGGGTGCCCTTCCCCCCTCCTCCCGGTGGTGCCTGGGCTGGCGCTGGGGACCCCCCGGGGAGTGAGGCTGAGACTCCATCCTGGAGAACACTGTTCCTCAAGGGGAGAGGACTAGGGTGCCGGGCAGTGAGCACCCAGTGTTAGGGGGCGCCGTGGGGAGGGTAAGAGGGGTCTGTGGGGACCCAGAGCAGGGCCTCCCAGTGCAGCTGGGCTGGGCCAGAGGAGACCTCCTGGCGGGGCGGGGCTGCCAAGCGCAGGCCTGGAGGTGAGTGAGTTGACCCTCCGGCCTCCTCCCCAAGGGAGGGCAGCTCAGGCCCGGCCTGGGCCAGGGGGTGGGGTGGGGCCTGCAGGGAGGTTCCAGAGATGCATCTGGAGCAGATCCCGCCTCCGGGGCGCGGATTCCTGCAGGCGGGTGCGATATTGGACACAATCACCCTGCAAGTCACTATTAGCTTGAACCCCACGGAATGGCCAAGCTCGCAGGTCAAAAATGGCGCCTGTCGGCGATTTCACACGGTTCAACCTGGTACCACGAGGACGGAAGGACGAGAAAGGAAGAGAGGATGCTATCGGGGGTTGGGAGGAAGAGGGAGAGTTCCTGCCGAAGGGACCGGGGAAACTTATGGGGGGGCCTTCAAGCTGGGGCTCGCCAGGCGTGACTTGGGGTGGGGGGTGGGGAGGCCAAGCCAGGAGATGCCACAGCAGGGCCAAGGTGTGGGGCTGAGCAGGGTGGGCGGCCGAGTCCGGAGGCAAAGCAGGGAGTGCCAAGCGGGTCCAGTTCAACCCACCAACTGCCCGCTGGCGCTGCCCAGTGCGGGCGCTGGGGTGCCGAGCTGCATGAGACCCACCAGTCTCAGTCTGTGGGGCACTCGTGGTGGTGTGGCGTGGTGGGGGGACTGGCACAGAGACAGACAGTGGCAGGAGAATGCTGCCGGCGTGGTGGCAGGCTGGCCCCAGAGGGAGGCAGCCAGGTTGGGAGGGCCCCACACACAGGCTGAGCAGGAGCAGGTGGGAGCCATGGAAAGCGCCAGAGGAGGGGTGTGGCCTAGTCTGGTGGCCAAGCCCAGGAAGGCCGGCCAGGAGGGAGGCCACTCCAGGGACTGGCTGAGCGCCAACCTTCTGAGCTTTGCATCATCTCCCGAGGCCGTCTGAGAGTCTCCAAGCAGGAAGGGGCTTTTGTCTCGGTGACCACAGTGGGCCCGCAGTAATGTCAGATGGGTCATTTGCCTCAGCTCCCTTTCGCAAGGACCCTCGGAAGTTCCTACCCCCCTGTCCGTCCGAGGCAGGGTGGCCAGCAAGGCACGAGGCTGAGCCCCTGGAGCCTGGGTCCCCCAAGCATCCCTTGGCCCTCAGGGGCACTCACCCTGCCCGCCCAGCAGGGCCACGTACCTGCATCCACTGGTCATCCATGTTCTCCTCCTCGGGGCAGATGGTCAGCTTGCACTTGGCTTTCTTGGCCAGAGTCATCACCGACTTCAGGAAGTCCTCGTTGTCAAAAACCCTGGAAAGATTTTGGAGCTCAGGCCTAGAGGGACACAGGTGCTCAGGAGACACCTGCGGCCTGAACAGAGACTCCGGGTTTGTCCAGCCTGTCTGCCCTTGGCGAGCATTATGTCACTGAATCCTCGTGACAATCCACGAGGCGGGAACTAGCAGGTACCCCTCCCACCATGGGGAAGACAGTGTGGGTAGGTCGCTGCCGAGGTCGCGCCGCCTGGGGCAGCGCTGGGGTTTGGATCCAGTCCTCACTGGCTCCCTGCCTGCGTCCTGACCGCCAGGGTGCCCTCTGGCTCTCTCTGCCCTTAAAGCAACGGGAAGAGGAGAGGGAAGGGTCCCCTGGGACCCCGGCACACTCCCAGGGGCTCTGGGACTGCAGGATGGATGCCTAGGCCTCCCCCAAACGCAGAAGGGCCCCCTCCCTAGAGACAAGACCCAGCCGCTCAGAGGTCGCCGGGAAGGTGCTTTTTTTTTTTTCTTGAGACAGAGTCTCATTCTGTTGCCCGGGCTAGAGTGCCATGGGGTCAGCCTAGCTCACAGCAACCTCAAACTCCAGGGCTCAAGCGATCCTCCTGCCTCAACCTCCCGAGTAGCTGGGACTACAGGCATGC